CCTCACTTCCGACATGGCCCGAGCCGAGCGCAGGGGCCGCGCCGAGCCGAGCCGAGCCGAGCCCAGCCGCTGCCTCCCTGCGGGCGGGCGGGAGGGCGGGCGCGGCGGGGCCGGGCCAGGGGCGGGCGGAGCCGCGGGGCGGGGCGGGCCCGGGAGGCCGCTGCTCGGCTCGGCTCGATTCGGTTCTGCGGGGCTGGGCCCGCCCCGCCCTGCATCAGCGCGGCCCCGCTTTGTCCCCGCCGCAGGTGCGGCGCTGGGGGAGCTGCGGGGGTGCCCCCCCCCCGAGCACATGGGCTCAGCCAAAGGCACCGGGCACTGCAGTGGGGCTCTGGACAAGGGCCTGTGGGGACCGAGCGGGGGAACGTCTCAGCCACTCCAACCCAACCAACCCGGGGCTGTCAACAAAGCCCCAGGCGCGGCCCCTCGTGCTGCTCAATCCTATGGGATGCGCCTGATGCCGGCGCTTGGCCCTGCCCGCCCCCTGCTGCGCTGGGCAGGATCAGACCCGCAGCGGGACGGATCCTGAGCGGATGGGCAGCACCTGCAGCCCATGGGATTTCCCTCTGGCGGCCCCGGGAAGAGGCGTTTGGGATCCGGAGCCCCTGGCGTGGAGCGACCTCGTGGAGCCCTTTGAGAGGCAGGAGGGAACCTGCACCGGGGCCGGGTCAGGGCTGAACCCAGCTGGGAACTGAGGAGCACGGAGCCGCTCGCTCAGCCCCTGTGCCCTGCGGGAGGGATGGGAGGAGAACGGGAAGAGTGGGAAACACAAATGGGTGGGAGAGAACAGTTTAATAAGTGAAGTGCAGTGGAATACTGAGAATGATGGCAATAAATAACATGACAGAACAATAGCAATAGTAAGAATAAATAACATATGACAATAAATAGTAGACAACTATTAATAACAACACTAATACATAAAGTACAACCTACTTCTACTAACAAAGTACAACAGCATCCTTCCACTACAACTGAAGAACAACGTAACACTGCTCCTACTACAATGAAATACAACTACTACAAACAACAACAACATCGCACCATAATCAATGACACGGTGGAGCTCAGCCCGAGGGTGGATGTTCCTGCTGGCGGCTGTGGATCTTTGTATGGGAGCTCCTGCCCTGAGCAGTGTTGAACGCCCTGGAAGTCAGAAAACACGCAGGGATCTGTGCTTCCTCCTGACAATCCCAGCACCGCCTCCAGCCAAGCTCCCGGTTTCTGCTCTGGGAGGGTTTGGGCAGGTCGGTGTTTAACCAAAGCCCATGGCTGGGGTGGGAGCTGGTTGTAAAGGTGCGGGAAGGCCGAGGGGGATCCCGAGCTCTGCCTCCCCACTCGGGAGGTTCCCGTTTTAGCCCAAATCCGAGTCCCCTCTGGCACCAGGGCAGGGGAATCCACTCCCGTCACCGCCGCCACGGGGCTGCTCTGGAGCCTGGCGCCGGTTCTGCTGCTCCGCTGGCACGTTCCGGTGGGGCAGAACACGGCGCTGCTCCCTGGGGCTGCCGAGGGGCTGTAAACCAGAGAGAGTTCATTGCTCTGCTCCTTCTTCTTCCTCCTCTTCCCTGTAAACCAGAGAGAGTTCACTGCTCTGCTCCTTCTTTTCCCTCCTCTTCCCTGTAAACCAGAGAGAGTTCATTGCTCTGCTCCTTCTTTTCCTTCCTCTTCCCTGTAAACCAGAGAGAGTTCATTGCTCTGCTCCTTCTTCTTCCTCCTCTTCCCTGTAAACCAGAGAGAGTTCACTGCTCTGCTCCTTCTTTTCCCTCCTCTTCCCTGTAAACCAGAGAGAGTTCATTGCTCTGCTCCTTCTTTTCCCTCCTCTTCCCTGTAAACCAGAGAGAGTTCATTGCTCTGCTCCTTTTCCCTCCTCTTCCCAAAAGGTGGAGGAGAGCGGAAGGGAGAAAAGAGCTTAAAATGTGTGGGAAGGGCCCGGGCCCACGGGGATGTGTTACATCCAGCACAGAGGCCAACTGTCAGCCTGAGCCTGCCCCACTGAGCTCCCCTGAACACCAGTGAGCCCAGGAGTGCTTTAATGGGATGGTGAGGACGGGCACGGGGCAGCAAACTGGGGTGATTTGGAGTGCTGAGAGCGGAGTTGCCCTTTCCTGCCCCGAAGTCGCAAGTGGGGAATAACTGAGCACCTCCTCTTCAGCCTCCTCCACCTCCTGCAGCAGCCTCTTGGTCTTCCCTCCCGTCAGTGGAAATCAGTTGCAGCCAAACTGGATCTTCTTAAACGTGTAATAGCATTCAGTGCAGTCAGAGAGTCTTAGCTGGGATCTGTTGTGAGCAAACCAGAAGCAATGCTGGAGGCAAACCCTGAAGGCACACACATACAACAGGTCCATCGTGCAGAGGCTTGCGGGAGCACTGGCACACAGGCAGGGGATACGGGATAGGAAAGAAACCCTCCTCTTCCAACCAGACTGGGAAGCAGAGTGGGAAGGAAGGGCGGCACATTCCACACACATCATGTCCTTGTTACTGGAATATCTCTGGGATTGGGGAGCAGAGACCTGAGATGTTCTGTTCTAAGGACACACGAGGGTCTCTCAGGGGTACCTGCGGAAGACAACACCGCATCCTGAAGTGACTTCCTACAAAGTGAAGTTCTTAACCACATCCACCGCAGGCTCCAGAGCACCTGGGATTTGCTCCCCGACCTCTCAGGGTACCCAGCCCTGCCTGGGCTGCAGAGACCTGGAAGGTGCAGCCAACACATGCAAAACAACTCCTTTGCCTCCTCCTTCCCTGACTGGGGGGACAGCACAGCTAGCCATGGACATTGCATTAGACTGATGGTGGAGTCCCCCCTGCTCCCCTGCAGCACTATAGGGTGCAGTAAAGAAGAATGAGGATTTCTTTCCTAACACCTATTTGTGCAGTTGCTGCTCCTGTTAAGGGCTGGAACCGTGCGTAGGGACCAGCCCTGTGACTGGAAGGGTTAGTGGCAGGTTCAGGATTTAATATTGCATAAGCCATCCAAGATAAAAGACTCTTAATAGCATTAGACAATAACACTCCATCTTACCCTGCCTGCACTGGGTGTCTGTGAGCCCTTTCATCACCTGTAAATGGGCCTAGCCCAGAGAAGCACTTCACTGTGTGATTAGCCTTAAGCAGGTGATTAATCCCAGTACTTCATCCATTGGACTGGAGCCAGCATTCCTGCACTGACCCACGGGGTCAGTAACCCAGATCCAGACACGCTTTCCAGCTGAGAAGGCAGAGGGTTATAAATGCCATTATACCTGCAGTGTCCCAGCTTTAGAATTCCTGTGGGATATGGATACAGCTGTAATGCTTTAATGGATTTCAAGTGCCTCAGATGTGGCCTTATACTCATGCCTGCACCCTTATCTATACCTCTCCTGATAACAAAGCCAAGACCAGGCAATTCCAGGCCCACAAGTGAGGAACTCCTCCAGTAATGCTTTTATGCAGCTCGTGCCTCCCATCACGGCAATGGTCATGGTGTGTACATGGGTGATGTGGGCAGACATCAGTGCTCAACGAAACCTTGCAGCCTCCCAGCACTTCTGGTGTGCTCAGACACCCAGCACTGTTCTAAACACCAAGCAACCTGGTCCAGTGCATGGTGCCCCTGCCCATGGCAAGGGGTTGGATTGGATGAGCTTTAAGGTTCCTTCAACCCAAACCCCTCTGTGATGATTCTGCGAAATACCCAACCCTTTTTAGCTTAAGAAAAGAGAAGTTATGCAGCATTCATCTTCTTGAACTGCTGGCTTTAGGCCCAGACATTAAATAAACTGTAAGTGAAGTGATGGTGTTTGCACTGCACAAAGCAACTTCTTACCTTGCATTTGTCACTTAATATATAGAGCAGCTGCAGCAAACTCCAGAAATGGCTTGGATGAGCTCACAGGAATCACAGTCAGTCTCCACATAGATAACCTGATACAGAAACTCATGGTTGGAATCACAAACCATGTGTTGTCTTGTGCCATCTCCTCACTTCTGTCCATTTGTCATTAGTTTGAGCTCCACTAAAATCTGGAGTGAGTTTAACCCATCTCATCTATACAGGTACTTTCAAACCTGAGTCAAGCTTACTCCAAGTGTGTCAACTGAAAATCGCTTTATACATCAGTATGTACTGCTGATGCTGGCTGATGCTGGCTGATGCTGCTCCTCTTGCAACAAGCAGCCTTTCACATTTAAGACAGTTTTACACAAAGAGCTGCTCAAATTCACCTGATTAAAAAGAAAACCTTAAAAGAGGAGCAAGACTCATTTCCTGCTCTGTGGGGCAGTGGTTATTCTCATGAGGGCCTGCACAACCCAGGATTAGAGCCGAGTGAGACAGCCTTGAACTCTGACTCAGCTGAGCAAGGAGGCCTGGAGTCGAAGAAATGTAAGCAGAACATTGAAACAGGAGCTTGCTGGCCACAAGGAATGCACCGCTTGTCGCAACGCATGCACCCTGCTGTTGCAGAGATATGTGTGTAAGACTTAGCTTAGCCAATAGCAATGTATAGACAGGCGCGTGGACAGGTTTATGCAGCCAATGAAAGATGTACAGCTGTCACGTAAACCATCACCAGTGGTATAAATTAGGTGAGCCTGTGCAATAAATCCAACAAGAAGCGTAACTCATATTGGGATGGTCTTCTTGATTCGGGTCGCTCCTCCGACACTGCTCCTCCCTGCCTTCATTCTTCCACTCACAGACTGATTTGGGTTGGAAGCAACCTTCAAAGCTGATCTAATCCAACCTCCCTGCAATGAGCAGGGCAAGCAGGTTGCCCAGAACCACATGGGAAGGAATCTTTGTACACTTTAGGAGCCTCCTCCTTACACATCCACTCGCAGTGCTCCATTCCCCATGGCTTCAGGAAGAAAACTATCACTCAAGAAGGGCCAAGATCAGGAAAAGCAGGATTCAGGAGTTAACCAGTGCATGCAACGTCAATGATCCGAAAAACGGGTCAAAACCACTCACACAAAAAGCAAATTTATGCATCAAAATGGAAAAGAAGCAACAGTTTTCAAGTGTGTGACCAAGTTTAATGATACATCTGTTCTGAACCACTCGACCATCAATAACATTGCGTGGGACCCAATGCCCAGAATGTTACTTCATAGGTGTTTTATATGAATATTTACAAAGACTTTCAAAAATCAGTGGCACAAAACAAACGAGAACAACTTAAAACTTTAAGCTACAATGCTTAAAAGATGTAAACAGTTTATTTTACATACTTGTAAAATAGAAGAACTTTCTAATGCAGCTCAGTTTTACCTGGAAGGTGACTATATCCTGGTGCCCGTGAAGAAGGAATGAGAGAATTCTTTACACAAGTATTGTGCTCCAGTGTGCAAAAAAATCAGAGATAAGAAAGGAACCCAAAGTCCACGACAATTAAAAGACAACAAAAAAAAGAGGTTTTCCACGTCCTGAAGTTGAGAGAGTTATAAACATTTACACGCGTTGCTGACCCATCACAAACTCCCAGAACTTAAACCTGGCAACAACAGCAACTAGATTCAACATCCCATCCAATGGAATCTTGTGCAAACAGCAGACCAGAGCCTTCCCCCGGCCTTCCCTTCCCATCCCTGACATCTAGTGGCCACTGGCACCACCAGAATCCTTTTGATACCTGTTCAAATGACTGCATGTATCCAAGACACGTGTGCTCCTGTGCAGAAAAGCATGCAGCCTCACAAGGCCAGTGCAGAACAGCTGCTCATAGAACGTTTAGAGACTGATGTCTGGCAGAACTATTCTTAGCCATTCCTCTCTATTCTACAGCCCAGGTGTTAAAGGCAGATGCTGCTTTCCCAGGATCCAGTATTTGAGCAGCCTTAAAAGAAAGATTTACAAAGAACTCAGCCTGTAACACTATTATATTAGATACTCTGCCCGCATTATTTCTGGGGGTGAATCCCACAGTACCATAGCTTTGTGCTGTCAGCTGCAGAACAACTAAGATAGGTATTTCTTTTTGTTAATGAAGACTTTGATTGCTCCGGTGAAGTCAGCTGATAAAAGCACTTCCGTGTGATCTGTCTTCAAAGCTCCTTAAGGAGGAAAGAGAATGAACTGTTAGCTCATCCACAAAAATGTGTTAAAAGATCAAGCTCTCGTTAAAAGCAAAGCTCTCGCTGTGACACCTCCCCTCCTTTATCACATTCCTGTTATCCAGCCAATGCTTCAAGGAACATCTGCACCTCTTGGAAGGGGAACTTATGTTAGAGGGCTGAAGCCAGGCTGAGAGAGCTGGGCTGGGTCAGCCTGGAGAAGAGAACGCTCCTGAAGGGGAGACCTTAGAGCAGCTCCAGTGCCTAAAGGGGCTGCAGGGAACCTGGAGAGGGGCTTGGGACAAGGGATGTAGGGACAGGGCAAGGGGAATGGCTTGAACCTGCCCGAGGGGAGACTGAGCTGAGCTCTTAGGCAGAAGCTCTTCCCTGTGAGGGTGCTGAGGTGCTGGCACAGGGTGCCCAGAGAAGCTGTGGCTGCCCCATCCCTGGCAGTGCTCAAGGCCAGGTTGGACACAGGGGCTTGGAGCAAGCTGCTCCAGTGGAAGGGGTCCCTGCCTGTGGCAGGGGTTGGAGCTGGAGGAGCTTTAAGGTCCCTTCCAACCCAAATCAGTCTGGGGTTCTATGCTGGTAGAACTCAACTTCCTAGCAGCTCAAATGCAGAAAGAATCCTAAAGTACAGAGGACAACAGCTGTGCTCCTCACTTCACATCCTCGCAGGTTTTAAGAATACAGCAGTTATCAAAATGATTAACTGCTAAGGTAGGAATGTGGATCCATGTCAGTGCAAGGACTTTTCTTCTCAAGAACCACCCTCCCCGATTTAATAATCCTTTCCTCCTCATGCCATGGCATCAGGCAGAGCTTGTCTCAAACACCTACCAGAGGGTATGGTGTCTGACGTTTCAGAATCTTCTCCCTTACTTTCAGCTTCTTGCTTCTCTGAAGTTTCCAGTGCCACCATCAAACCAGGATTGGGAGCAAAAATGGCTGATGTGACCACTGCATTGTGAGCTTCAGAAAGAAAACCCAACTTTGGTTACCTGGCTGCAAGGAAGTGTTATACAAGAACAGCAGGCATCCATTTCAGTAACTATCCAGGGATCTCAGTGCTGCTGGCACCAGGTAAGCTCATCATTCAGAAACTGTCACTGGTTTATAAGCTTGGGGAGCTCAGAAGTTCCTCTATTAACTGGTAATAAAAGCCCCAAAGTAACCGGTAAGGGCTCTGAAACATGTTTAATACAAACACAGCCCCAAAACTTGTGTGTTTGTGTGCAGATGAGTTGCTCCTTTTTTGCACTGTTTTCAGTCACTTTCCCATAAAGGACCTAAGGATCAGTCTTTACACTTACACAAGCAAGCTCTGCCAGCACAATGTTCTTACTGCTCTTACTCAGTTTTCCTGGCAGAACCTGACTGAAGTTCTCTCACTGTAAGTGGACATGTTCTTGGCTGCTCTGTCTCTTGCCATCCCTAGCATGCATCTGCAGAGTTTCTTGTGGACAAGGTTTTCTGAGAGGTCACTTACTGAACCCCCCCAATTCCAATGCATCTTCCTGACAATCTGTTCAAACTAAATGAACAGCACCGCTGAGCAAATGGAAAGGAGAATATAAAAAGACTTCATTTTTGAAATCGGGAGAGCTTTCATAAAACACAAATCAAAGATTGCTTCTTACCTTTAATGCCTTCCCAGAAGTCATTACGGTCTCTCCTTACAGAAGTGAACTTGCTCAAGTCATGGTAAGTACTCCAGATATAAACGTATTTATCTTCTGAACCACTCACAATGTAGGTAAAGTCATGGCTAAAGAGTCAAAGAAGGAAACCCATTACTTTTCCTAGCTGTTCAAGCACCCACTACAGCAGCTCTCCAGATGACGTGCAGCTTTACAAGTGTGATCAAGGCCAAGGTCCCCATTCAAACTGATGCTTTATTTTAGTGACTGCAACTCAAAAAAATATGAAAATATGAAAAGCCACTTAAATGTGTGTGCATGCAAGTGCCCTGAGGCTCTCCTGCTGGGAGGAAAAGGCAGTTCTCATGAAGAGCACACAGAAGCTGTTCCCCTGCAGCTTCTGGCACAGAAGAGCAACATGAAAATGTCATCTTCTTGAAGGGCAATTTGTATCTCGAGTCTGGAACCTGTGTGAGCACCAGACTGTGCAATAGGAACTGCTACCAACAGTCATGGGCAAAAGAATCCACACAGGTGGAAGAAGAGAGATATTCAACAAGATTGTAACTAAATGACCGTATAACACACACTGACAGAGACAGAACCACCCCTGCAAATGTACTTCGGATTTACCTACCATGTGAGTATGCCCCATAGCTAAACTCTACAACAACTGTGCTACAGCTCTCTCAGCAGAAACAACTCAATTTTGGAAGTTAATCTTGAGAAGGGGGCTGGACAAGAGGTCCCATCCAACCTCAGCCATCCTGGGAAATAATGGGTAAGCTTCAAAGATGCTTTCAAAGGCCACCAAGATTAAAGTTGGCATTATTCCTTAAGCACTGCTGCCCCCCTCTGTTCAAACAGCCAGGTTAAACAGACGCACAAGTATTTTTCCCCTTTGGCTTCTGCAAGGCTCAAAAAGAGAATAGAACAAACATTCTTCTCCCTCTACTCCCCCTGTTTTACTACTTTAAACCCCGGTACTCCCATGGCAGTCACAGCAATAGACTCAAACTCAGGAAAGCATCTTGGGCTTGCATAGAAAAAGAGAAAAGAACTCCCACTCAGATCTGCAGGCTGTTTCTTGAGAGTGATGATGCATGGGGAGTGACCAACAGCCTTGGGTAGCACTTGGGTGACCCACACATCTGCAGCAATACCTGACAAAACTAAGGAAGCGAAACCTGTTTATCATGGAGGAAAGGAATGATGCAGTGTCCCAACCCCATCAGTTTTAGGAGAGTTCCTGCATTTACAGCAGCAGCTCTGTCATTCCTGACCACAGCCTTCAGTCACCTTTGTACTCTGAGCCAAGTGACGTTTCAGAGGCTCAGTTTCATACCAAGGTAAACAGATTAAGCAAAAGCCTCTGTACTTCAGCCACAGCATTTCCCAAACCCAACAACTCCATTGTTGTATTGTCTTACCTAAAGCTAGCTTTGATTTGGCTGCTGCTGTTGACATAACCTTTGTATTTCATAGACAAAGACAGATCTCTCAGGTCATACAATCTGATCCTGGAATCATTTGATGTCACTAGTATCTGGAAAAGAGATAAAATTTAGGAGTGGAAACCACAGGCATGCCCAAGAAGTTCATTCAGAGTCAGAATTCAGTTCTTCTGAATCAAAAAAGTGACACACACAAAGAATAGCCCCAAAGAAGCAGAAAGATTAGGCAATGACGGTTTTCTCTCCCATTTTCTGTCAATGGACAGAACACAAGTTCACTGTCAAGATCATCCTGCTTGGTCTGAACCAGAACAGCTACTCTTTACTGAAGTAAAACATGTGCCCAAAGAACAGGCATCAATTTGCAAAGGCTATTTTGGAGCACATTCCCCAATAATGCAGCAGAGCAGCTTTCTAGTGAGGTAAATTCCTGGTGGGCTGTAACCTATCACTCGTGAAGCACAAAACAGAGACCATTATCTGCTACATACACGAACTGGGCTTTTCTTAGTCCACGCCAGCATGCTTCCTATTCATATGTTTCAGATCAGAAGCTTAAATGTACTTGTAAGGAACAGAGAAGCCTATGAAAAGGGTTGTCAAAATGCGTAAGGGCATTGAGCTGATGAGCCCTTTCAAGGTACTTTAAAAGCAGAGCAGACTGTAGGTTAGCAGCAAGCCTCAAGATGCTGCTAGGAAAAGGGAATAGAAGAGTAGCAGTTAAATACTGAGCCTCACTTATCTGACCTTTATGCAACAAAGTTGGAGCAAGTCATGGACCACCATCACATTACAGTTCTTCCTGCTTGTTTTCAGAAGAGTTCATGCTCAGCTGTGTTTTATTACACCATCTAACATGCCAACACACATCTGAGGCAAACCCAAAGGCACTACTGAGTTCTGAATCTTCTGCATGTTTTAGGGATTCAGTAGCTTCTCTGACATTGATCAGAGTACAATACAGGTGATAGCAGCTGGTGATCTGCTACTCTGATAGACCCAGCTGTTGATTGCACATCACCCCTGAAACTTTATATACAAGAGAGAAACTCTCCAGCTACAGGTTGTGAGTTTAACATTCAACAGCATGTTCTTTGATGAGAAATTGAGCCTTTCACAAGACTTCAGTTTAAACTGAAGCTAAACAGAATGACTGATTCTGAAATACACTTGTTTGGATAACAGCTTCTGAGCTTTCAGCATCTTTTCAGCTTCTGTATGAAATATATTCCCAAATGAGTATTAAATTTGAGAGATTACTTATGCCAAAGACATTTTCACTGAAAGCCATCTGTAAAGATTTTTCACATTTACATTAATCAGAACATAATGTTACTTAAAAAGAAAAGAATGTACTTTAACACTGCTTAGTATTGTATTAGCCTAAATCAGCAAAGAGCAGTGCTCATTTTAGTAGTGTTAAAAGACTTCTTAGTCTTTAGTAGCGTTAAAAGATTTAAGTCAGTGACTACAAGCAAGACTTAACACAAACTTCTTAAGCATTAAATATAAATACCAGACTTCAGAATTGAGCTAAAGCTTCCCTGGAAGTCTGTACCTTATTTTCTCCAGGCAAGGGTTCAATGCCAGTAATTTTCCTTCCAACTCTGTTTCGGCCCCTGGTAGAGCGCACGTGTATTTGTGTATGGTACTTCAAGTGCTGAAAAGGTATTTGAAATAATTGTGAAAACAAGTTTTAAAATGCTTGTTCCTTGATATTTCAATAAGCATTTGAAATCTGTTGGTTATTTAACATTAAAAAATGCAGTCTCCAAAAGGTTTTACCTCAGTGTCATAGAAGATGCATCTCCCATCGTATGTGCCTATGACTGCGTATTTGCCATTCTGACAGAAGTTGGCTGCTGTAATCAATTTTGTCTGCCCATCTACTTCATTCCATAATGCCACCTTCTTGTCGGGAATGTTCCAGAGCCGGAGCTTTCCATCCAATGAACCACTTAAGAAGTACCTGTCATCCTGAGAGGAGACACTACGTTAACCTCTGCTTGCACTTCAAGTATGCCTGCCTTCCTTAAAGCCTTCCCACCCCATTGCCAAACAGCTTCTCTCCAGAATCTCCCACACAGGAGCTCTCAGAGGAGTTGATTAGAATGTTTAAGACTGAAAGGACAATATAAAAACTACTAGTAAATGGAGTTTCATCCATTACAGATGCTTTACAAGATTACACACACAGGGGAGGACTCTCACAAATTCTGCCTTTTGAGAAGAAAAAGGCCAATTGCACTTACCCTTGGATGGAATGCTATAGCAGTGACAAAGTCTATGTGCTGGAAACAGCAGAGACATTCTCTTCTTGATATGTGCCATAATCTGACAGTTTTATCCATAGAAGAAGAAAGCAAGAAGTAATTCTGTGAAACAAGAGCATTCCATGGTTACTAACAGATACAAGTAACAGGAAATACAAAAGCAATCTGATCGGTAAAACCTCACCAACTTCCCCCTTGCCATGAAATTCAACATTTTATGCTTTCAGATAAAATGTTACTGATTGCTTTCCTTAGGATCCCTACACTGATGCTCACAGAAGATTTTCTGGAAGAATCTCAATGGAAATGAACACTTGGAAAGTAGTTAAAGTATTCAGAGAAGAAAAAGCATGACAGGCTTCAGAGAAGGGGTGAGAGTCCCTCCTGCCCAAGATCCTTCAGCCAGAGAGCCAGAGTGTGTTCTTCAAATTACAACTGTATTCCAATGAGGGGAATTAAGTGAGAAAGTTTTATGTGAAACAGTTAGAAAGCTGAGCACGAGGCAATTCTCTAATTTTAAGATAATCTATTCAGCAACTTTAGAACGCGTCCACTTTGACTATTTCAGGCAGCATACATGTTGCCTCTACAAACCTTTCCTCTTAACTTCAATGACTGTTTCATGTTGTTTAGCTGTATGGTTCCAATGGCAATTAATACAGGAAAACAATAAAAACAAAAGATCTGCATAGTCTGTATTAAGGTGCCTTACTTTAGACCAGGAAAGATCAAGAAGATCTGCTGTATGTCCTTTGTATTTGCAAAATGGTCTTTGCCGAAACGGGGCATTTTTATCATCTGGGTCTTCATCAACTCCACTGCAAATCTATCAGAGAAATGGACAGAAACATTACAAAAAATGTCAGCTGGAAAGTTAACAACAGGCAGTTACTGCTTACCAGAAGTACAGGCGCAGTAATAATGTGAAGACCAATTCTTATGACTTTAAAGTAACCCTGCACTAATAAACAACCCCAATAAACTTCAACACGATGGGCTGTGAAACATCTTGAAATTGACTGGAGGTGTCTATTGATAAAAGAGTTTGCCTCAAAAAGACAAGCCAAGAACTCTTTAATGTGTGTTTGGATAAAGCAACAGCGAAGATCTGGCTTTACAGAACACGTATGTAATGCACATACCCCTGCATCAGTATCAGACTTGGAAGAATTCAGACTCTCTTGAGATGGAGAGGGGGAGACACGGCCTAGAACACAGGCAGAAAAAACATGATCAACTTTAAGTTCCCAAACCCCTACTATTTCTAGAGGTTTAGAGCTCCAGCGATACATGAAGGATACCTTCTGTATTGTACTTCATCCGCATGTTGTTGAAATAGTCAAAAGCATTCTTTAAAACCCATATTCTTACTACGTTGTCCTGTCCTGCAGATGCGAGTAATCGACCACAGTGTGAAAACTTCATTGTCCAGACAGCACCCTGTCAAAACAGAGAGGTTATTAACCTCAAGTGCCTTTTTCCATACCAAAATGCCTTTCTAGAACACTAGATGAGATTAAAGACATATACAAGATACTACAAGTAAAGTAAACTGTAGATGAAAACACTGGAAAACGGTTGCTAAGGCTGGTGACTGTGCAAGAAGAGTTTGAAAGGAACAGCCCCAGGGCAGATGACCACAGTGTTCTACATTAAAACCAGCACAGTGGGTGAGAGCCAGCCAGGGCTCCAAGTGACTTACAACCCGCTGTTTGCTTGGTAGAACTGGCAAGTATTTGTGGCTGCACTTGAAGTTAGCACAAGCTGTGCTAACACTATTTTTCTGAGCAGAATTGTGCTTGGTTGCATCAATTCTGACAGCCAAAATGAGCATTACAGCTATTTGTTACATTCAGGACTGGCACAAGGATTTTGCAAGGCCTGTGAAGAAAACAATTCTTCCATTGCAAAGTCTGAAGAGTCATCAGTCAACAGAGCACAGTACCACACAAGTAGTATTCCATTTCTTCCTGTTATAATGGAGAGTTATTAGGCATCAAACCACCAACCTAGGGTCATTTTGGGGTATTTTTGATGAATTTTCTAGGTTTTAAGAAAACAAATACTGGCATGACAGAAACTAACACAGATAGATTACCCATAGGACTGGAAACTTCAGTTATGGGTGACAAGCTTGAAAGCTCTGGTCACCAACCTGGCTGCTGTCATTGTCCTCAGCGTTAACACCTGGAGCTGGGGGACTGTTCCAACTGGTGCCAGACAGTTGGTAGTAGAACACTGCTTATTTCAACCTAAATTTGGAACTGAAGGACCCAAAACTACGAGTATCACTCATACCAAAACTCTTCAAGGAAAAGCTCTGGAGAATCCCTGAATCCTGAGTATCTACAGATTCTTGTTTCCCTGAAAATGTGATCAAACCAGCCAAAACTTAATTTCTTGCCAGAATACTATTTTCCAGAATGAAATTGTTCATCAAGATCAAAAAAACCTGACAGTCATTTCTGGAGGTCATCAAGTAGATGGAAACTAAAAGTTGAATCTCAGGGTGAAGAGATTCAGTAAAAACACAGATGAAATTTGAGACTTACCATGTGCTCTCCACTGAGATCCTGAACAACTTTAATCTGTTCAAAATCATAAGGTCCCTTGAAGCCATGTGCTGCTTTGAACTTAACAGGTCTCGTATATGGCATCCCTTCATCATCACTGGAAGAGGGATCATCCTGATCTGTATGGAAGACTAAGAGGAACACAAATTCAGCAGTACATACACATTTTATCTACTGGTAAGCATTTGCCAATACTTTTTTGGTAGCAGATTAGTCTTGAATTAGCAAATTTTCCCAGGCAATTTTAAGCTCTTTAAGCAAAACAAGAGTATTGTTGTGTCAAGGTCTAAAAATACATCTACACTGATTTGACGTTGCAATGAATCCAGACACTGAACACTCAAAGTAAGAGCTGCTATCCGTTTTTGTCCTGCCCCTTTCTTTGCACCCCTCTGGCATTCAGCAGATGCTTCACTAAGTGATTTCTGTCAGTTTAATGTGTGCTGAAAATGACTGTATTGGTTTCTTCTGACTGAAGAGGCTGAAATGGCCTGGTCAACTGCCCACAAAGCGCAACAATTACAAAGGAGCTGGGGCAAACAGCCAGTGGCAATGCAAGATGCTAAAGTGCAGCAGTTCTATGGCACTCAGCTCAGGCTGTGGTTAGCTTGGCTTACTGCAGTACTAGAAGTCTATCTGAAGGAAATATTGATGAAGTAAGAGGAGAATTCAGTTGTAGTTGGGAAATCTAACAGCAGCTCAAGCTACACGAGAACTCTAACAGTGGCACTGTTGTCAAAACCAATCTGATTTTATTGAAATAATGAAGACAACCCCCACTTCTACCTCTGCTGCAACAACTCCCCCCCCCAAATTACATTCTGATATGCAGGCAGATTTCTAACAGCACAAGAAAAATGAGAGTATTCAACTGGTTTAGCTGAAAAGGTCTCTCAACTATTACTTGACAAGAATAATTTCTTGTAATCTGCTGGTCTCAAAATCCCTAAGCTACAAGCATTCACTCTAAAAAGCCACATCAACAACTGTACAGTGGTAGAATAAGCAGTGTCTGTCCCTCAGCTAGCTTTGAGTCCTAGAAGCCCTCAAAGAGATTATCCTATTAGAAATACATGTCTATATAAAAGAATCAGTGTCACTTACCTTCATCTCGAACGCTCTTCACTTTATTGACAGCACGTTCGCCGTACTCCTCAGCAAGATGTTTTGCTCGCTTTACAGACTTGCCAAGGAACTTCTTCAGCTGGGTCCTTAAAAAGCAAAGGCACTTTTTCAACACAACACTGGCAAATCCTCATTTGTTGCTATTATGAATCAACAGTTTTTGAAATGCAGTATTATCTTGTTCCATTACTGCTTCTCAAAACGAGCAGGTAACCTTCAGCTCAACTGCAGAGCAATGGGCTTATGTAAATTCGGATATCACTTGTATTTAAAAGTTAACTTATTCACATGTCAGAAGGGGAGTTTCAGTTTGGAAAAACAAAGCCTGCCTTTTCTTTGTAGGGACATGAAACAGCATCTTACGTTTTCTGTTTTAACCTTCCTCCATCAGAGTCAGTTTGCTGGGTCTGCATTTTGTCTTCGTCATCAGACTGTGCTGCGTCGTTACTAGGAAATACAAAAGTGATTGTTTAATATGAAATCAGAACGAATCTGAAGTGAATGAAACATCAGTAAAGTAGGATCTGCATTTTTGGATCCATCTTTATTCTTTCACACAACACACTGGAAAAACATGGAGGTGATGTGAATCAATAAAGCAGATCTTACAATTCTTAAGCATCTCGATACTAAAACTGTACTCACTCTCCAGAGGCCAAAGATATATTAGCCCCTTCCAGAGACTGCAAACTTCAACTTTCTGTGATGCTTTGAAAGCTAAGAGCAAATTACATCACAGTACTAGGAACTGGTAACATGCCACCATGTTCTCAAACCTTGCTTTCCTTAGATCAAATACATTAACAGTGGTTCACTCTGAACAGAAGTTCATATACAGAAGAGCACAGCTCTACACAAGTAACCTCTTCAGTGATAATTCAGCAATGCAAAACTCCTAAAGATTGTCTGATGTATAAATTCACATAAATCCAGGCCTTTGAAATCAACATCTAGACTGCCACAATTCACTGATCATTAAGAAACTGTATTTTTTCTATCAAAGTTAACAAAAAGACTCAGGTTTAAACATTGGAAGGGCTAAAGCTCTGTTGAGAACAGGGAAACCTCAAAGCAGCCATTATACTGATTACAACAGATCTTCAGAGGACCAAAGTCTACTAATTTAAACACTGAAAAAGCTACAGAAGGTGACAGCACAAACATGTAGTGCTTGGATATAAGCTGTGTTTAATTCAGTACAGAAATGACAGCATGCAGCACACCAGGTGCTGACTGCGGTTCAGCTGCATTCTCAGACATACTTGCCTGTCAAAGTGCCAGCAATACCTTCAACTTTTAGTTAAAATAATCCAATAAACAGCCTACTTCAGAGAGAGCTGGGAGTTAGCACTCAAATTAGACAGATGGATCAGGACTCTGGCACAAGAGCAGCCTCCACTTATGCAAAAACTATGACAGCAAGAGTATCAAAGAGGTGAAAGCTACCATCATTCATACCTGACATATTCTTTAGTTCTCCTCATGATATGCAAAGTCAGAGGATTGATGCCTGTTGGCAACTTCTCTTCTGCCAAACTCAGGGGTATTTCTTCACCTGTATCGAGGTTTTTTATCATTACACTTGCTAGAATTTCCTATGGAAAATATGAAATCAAGATGACCTGATTAGATTCCGGAATCATTTGACCTTACAAATTAGTTACCCTAATGGGAAATTCTGTAGCTCACTGTATACTTATTTTACAAGGACTAAGTTTAAGTTAGGAGAGATTTAGTGTGTTAGCACCAACATTATCAACCACTACACAGAGATGAACAATTATATGTCACCACAAGCTTCAATTCCATAAATCAGAAATGCAGTTAGAGACATCAGTCATTGCCTGACACCTTCCATGCTAATGTCAAACATTATGTAATTACAAGAGATTGAACTCTTTTCCCTTTAGATATTCTAACAGCTGAAGTTTTGATTTAGTCAAAGACAACCTTTACCTGCAGAAAAACAGCATTCAGACCTAACTAGTATTACACAAAGGAAAAGGAGTTTTTGGACCATCTCATGAACACACACATCTGTTCAACACTAGTCTAGTTAAAGCAGCTATACACAGATAAACACAAGACTGCCAGCAGCCTGATGACTTCATCAGATTAATGGAATTTTTTAACTGAAGAAACTGTTTTTTTAACATTGGGAAAAATCATTCTTCTATTGCTGATTCCTTCCCCTTTTAGATAAGTGACAAAACACCAAGTCGGCTGTGTTCCCTCTCACTGACACCTTGCAATGTGCTTGCACAGCAACAAACACAAACTCAGAGCATTTCAGATCTATTACAGCTCACACTTCCAAACACTAATACCACCTATGACTCAGGGCCCACAAAGTGGACAAAGCCAGCATGCTAGCACTCCTGTGTGCACCCCAGGTCACAGAAGGCAGTGGTTCAGAGCATAGTGATGTGAGACTACTCCAATTCATTCCACAGACTGGAAAAACGAGCATAAGAATGTACCACACACAGACCATGTGCATTAGTACCTCATCTGTGAGCTCTCTTCCAGAATTAGACCTGGGTCTTTGTGGTCCCAGTACTTCATTTGCTGTTTGGCCATCAGCTGCTTTCCCATTTTCCTGAAGTTTTGCAGACAGAGAACAGGTTATCTCTGTTGTAACACCACAGTAGTAGCCAATGTTACAGTTCTGGAACTGAGAACCATTTCCAATACCTGTGCAGTGACTATTTTATCTCCAATAGTTGCACTTGCTAGGTCCAAAGAAGGCTGAGAATCTTTGGACACTCCCTCTGCCACTGTACTCGCAGTTAGAAGATCACCAGCTGAGAAGTGCTCTCGAGAAACTGAAAAGAGGATCACATTAGAAGAGCATAATGATGCCATAGGCTACAGAATGTCAGAGGCCTAACAACACCCTTACACCCCTGAACACCCTTGCTGACAAGAGCGATTATATTTTAAACATCAAATGCCACCAAATCTGCCTTATCAATTATGTGTTTCATCCACAGGTGGAGGCACAGGCATGATTTCATGCCTAGTCCTCTGAAGTTTGACTTTTTTTTTTTTTAAAGGTAATTTACTTTAACTAACCCACGACTACTCATTTTTGCTACATCTGACTTGTGTTTCTATGCAGCTGAAGACTGAACACGTTTTACTTGGAGTACTTTAGCCTGTCAGAGGGGAGATAGAGATGAGCTCTTAGGCACAAGTTCTTCCCTGTGAGGGTGCTGAGGTCCTGGCACAGGGTGCCCAGAGAAGCTGTGGCTGCCCCATCCCTGGCAGTGCTCAAGGCCAGGTTGGACACAGGGGCTTGGAGCAAGCTGCTCCAGTGGAAGGGGTCCCTGCCCATGGCAGGGGTTGGAGCTGGAGGAGCTCTGAGGTCTCTCCCAACTCAAACCATACCGTGATTCCATGATTCTATAATTAGCTACCTTGGTAGGAAGTGTTATGAATTAGGAACAGTTGGAATGCAAAAGGGTATTTCTCCACTGTAAGAAGCTAAGACTGTGGAAGAATTATTTTTTTCCCCTATCATTTACATATCAACGAAACGAAAATCACAAGATCGAATGATTCTTCACTCAAAACACAAAAATAGTAACCATGCAGATAACGAAACCCATCTAAAATAGAACACTTGCCTTCTAAGCCAGGTTTCTGCACTTCAAAATCCAGCTCACTCTTCTTCTTCCGTGGTGGTGGGGCTGGCCGGGCAGGTGGGGGTGGCCTCGGGGGGGGGACATTCGTCGGAGGTGGTGGCCGGGCTGGGACAGGCTTCTTTGTGCTGGCAACTATGTCTGGTTCTACAGTGAGCTGCCGTGGGGGCTTTGCTGGGGGGATTTCTTCTGTTGTAGAAAGGTCTTTGGTCGATAAATCTGAAGCCACTTGTTCTAAAGTGCTAGCCTCTTTCTTGTCTGTTAAGTCCTCATTTTTGGGTGCTTCTTTCTGTGCTTCAGTTTCATTCATTTTATGGTCAGTTGCATTTGTTACTTCTGTTAGTTTAGGAGTTTCCTGTTTCTCAGAAGCAAACAAAGGCTTCCCAGACTCCAACTCACTGTCCTTGCACACACTCTGATATACCAGTTCTCCAGGGTCTTCTTGTAATGGTATTTGAGTAGCTAATACTTCTGGAATATTATTAATGATACCTGCTCCAGAAATCCAAGCATTTGCATCTGAAGTTGGAACAGTTAGATCTTTTCCTCTAGGATCTAAAGAATCATCATCTAGTTGTTGTGCCTTCTGGCTTTCTTCTATAATACTGTCGATAATCTAAAGAAACAAACCCAAAGCATTCCACTGTTAAACTACTGCCACCTCTAGCATGCACTCAACAGTCAGATTGGTTTTTACTCTTCAGATGAACATTCTTACTAACATTAAGGACAAATTCTAATCTATGTAAATGTCAAGATGAAGACTGATTATTCAATTATTTAATATTTCTAGTGTGATGCTGGAAGCATAAAGCATCAGTGTTAAACACTAACCTCTTTTGAATCATCTTGTTTCATTTCTTGGACAAAGGTATCATTTCCAGTTTTGTGTGTCTTGCTGTCCACATCCTACGGGAAAAAGACATAAGATGATGGTAGTTCTTCAGTAAGACCCAACAAAAAATACAGCTACAACACATTAAATAGCATAAAGGACAAGACTTCAGCTCCATTTGCACACCTTGTGCTGTCACAGATGTTTGAACTGCAACGTACAGTCCAGGTGGGGAGTATTTCACATCTCCATGCACAGAAAGCCTGGACACTACTAAACAAAAGAGCAGTTCAAAAGGTTTCAACCTCAACTAAACTCAAATTGAAGGTAGCACGAAGCTTACAGAAACATACACATTCCATCACCTGCAACAAGGAAAGTCCATATTAAAATATTTCTTTATCAGCTTGTGGAAAGCACGCAGGAACTGTGTTATCACCATATGTAATAGAAACCTTATTAGAAATCTCCAGGTTAAGTCAGGCAGATCTACCAGGGGGTCACAGGTATGCTTTTGAGGTCCTGACATGGAATCTTCATGTTCCACAATTAGCCCTAGTGCACACTGTATTTTAGTCACCATTTTCATGCAGATCCTTCCAGCATCTGAATAAACGGCACCAGAACAAATGCAATGACTGACTTTAAGCAAAACCCAACAACACTTGGATGAAAAACTGCATGAAAATTCAAACCTGAGTATACTGTTGATTCTTTATAATCAACACTCATAGGATATTACAGTACTGCTGTAAAGTCAGCTTCAAGTTGAAGAACTGTAGTTTTGAGATGTGCAAGCAACATCAACACTTTGGCACATCCCACCAAACAAAGAATTAATGAAAACAGTTTGCTAAAGGTGACTTTGTGTGCCAAAATAATGTAGAAAATACCCTTTTAATAGCTCTAAGTCTTGTTTAATTTAAACAAACAAACCCCACAAACCCCATAGTTAAGGCAGGCTGTCCTAGGAATCAGGAATATTAGAGTTAGGTTACAATTTGGGCATGTCAAGCATCTCAAAACAGAGACAACTCAGAAATGTGTCTAGTCAGGTTATGACTATATCCAAGAATGGAGACTGCACATGATCTCTGAGGAACTTGTTCCACTCTTTGACCATCCTGCACAGGCTATTTGGGGACCAAAGCTGCAGATAAAAGCCTGTATTTGTCCCACAAACAAAAAAGACTACTTACAACTGACTAAGAATTAAGTCACCAAGCTGGAAACATTATGAAAAAACAAACATCTCAACTCACATCTTAAGGCCAGGTTGGATGGGGCTTAGAGCAAGCTGCTCTAGTGGAAGGTGTCCCTCCCACGGCAGGGGGTTGGAACTGGATGGGCTTTAAGCTCCCTTCCAACCCAAACCAGGCTGCAATTCTATGATGAGCTCATTCCCTGAGCTGAGAACAAAACTGCTGGTCTACTCCTCCTTCCTGTTTACAGGCCCAGAACTCTGCTGCTGAAGTCAGCGGTCCTCAAGTGTTAAAGCCCCCAAAAGTTGGCTGTTACCATTATGAGCTATTTTTGTTAGGCTATTAATTTAATTCTGCTTCTACAGCTTCGGATACATAGAAGACACGTCATCTCCGTAGTAAACAGGTATTTTAAAAGACTTCCCCCTATTTTCCTGGACTACAAACAAGATTCAGAGTGACTGCCTAGGACAGAGAGCTAAGAAATTTCTCCTTAGAGTCTTCTTAGACACCCACCTAATCAAAGAAAATCTTGATATCATACTGACATACTATGTTTGGAGAAAACCACAGAGCTCTTACAGACATCCATCCTGGAGTTCTGACCTCAAGAAACAGCATTATCATGCAGAGAGCTACAGTAATAGAATAGTTCTCCCTCTCTTTTCACTCCCCCCTCTCCTTCCATACAGTTTCTCTGTTTTAAATGCAAGTTCTCTTTTGCTTTAGAGCTAAAATCTCCCTTCAGAGGTGTGAGGACTCAAACCCTTTAGTGCAATCAGTGCCTACAGAGGCCATTATATTAATTTCTAATTCTGTTGACACAAACCTCATACACCTCTTAAACTTTGGACTGGGAAAATATTTCTTGCTCATTCCAAGACAAACGATACCATTAGTCACACATTCACTGATCTGATATTGTACCAAGCAGAGAAGCAACTCCTTTTTCCACCTTCAGAAACTCAGCTTGGAACAAGTGACTTAAAAAGATACTTAAAAACATCCCCAAACCCCCTACAAGCAACATACGGAACTCCATAGCCAATAATTCAGTGAAGACATTAAAGTTAGCTTTGAAATTCACTGATTGCACTGAATTTAATCATAATGATAAGGCGCTATTTTGTGAAAGGTCTTCACATGTTGTACTTAATCACTGAAGGGACATTAAGCAGAACATGAAATAGGGGCTAAGTCGCTGTTCCACATGAGATACCTTAAGATACTGGAAAAAGATTGATTCAGAACAGAGTGCTGCTGACAAACCAGAAACACCCTTTTGACCAGGATTTCCCAACCCTTTAAGGATGGAATGTCAATCCTTCTTTACTCTATGACATGTATTGCACAGCATCACCTTTGTCCCTTCTGAGCCCAGGAAACCACTGGTTGTTATACAAGGTTCCAACTCCTCACCTATTAGATGTGGGCCAGCCTCAGCTGCACTGTCACCATGCACAGATGCAGCATACCAAGTACCTGCGTGGGACGTGGCAGCGCTGTCTCATTAAGTTAAATATAGTGTTTTATCTTCACATAACCTTGAGGGGAGGCTTTGGAAGTACAAACCTTAACGTTTTTGTTATTTTCAAGACAGAAGAGAGCAAAGTCAAGTATTTCATATAAATAACCAACAACCAAGTGCTGCAGAGACTTGCTCACTACTCACAAACCACTTCAAAGAGTGCAGTCTAGTAACTGAGTCAATTCAATTGCACTTATACATTCCAGAATAAAATTAGCTTCAAGACATGTTAACATACCCTAAATAAAGGTAAAGTTCAAGGAACTTCAAGAGCCATAAGCACAAATGCTACTTACAACAAGGAAAGCCTGTAATTTCCCATCTGCAGATGTTAAGTCTCCCATAGCACATCTACTTTAGGCAGAAATGCTCAGCACTGGGTTTAGCAACAAGCATATGATTGATTTTAAGACACTCACCTTTACTACATGGGATCCAGCTTTTGATGGTGACCTGTTAGAAAGAGAATACAAGACTTAGGTAGACTGCAAAGAAAAAAGATCTCTGGACAGTAAGCTTCATCTTAAACAGTCTGAAATATTCTTGCTCTACAAGTGTTGACTTGATAATTCAAACAAGCAACAAAGGGTAAGTTTCTCATACCACTCCTTTACTCAAGAAGAGTTGAATACCCAGCTGTGTCTACAACACATAGATCCACAGCTTCCACAGTCCGTGTAAGTTTCCCAGCAGAATCTTCTACAAATCCTGTTTCCATCACCCTTTCCTAATAAACTGATGCTATTCCAAGAACACGTTTAAAAAGAGTTTAAAATTGGCATGCAAAGGGAGGCACAGGGTAGATAGACATCAAAGAAACCAAACCCCTCAGAAATCAGAAGTACCAATGCTCTCGTGGCTTGTAAACCAAGTGCCTGAGCCCTGATCTACACAGTCAACACTATCACAACCATTCTGACCTTCAGACTCATGCAAGTGAGTATTGCTTTTTATCATGACATTCAGAATAAACATCAGTATTTACATTCTAACAGGAGGGAACTAGTTTTCCACTACTTCCCAAAATACATCCTGGGAAACAGGGAATATGCAGTTGCATCCACTCATACACAAGCCCTGGTGTCACTAATTACATGAAAGAACAAGGTGTCCTAAGGGAACAGTATCAAATAATTACTGCTCCTCAGGTCACCGCTCACTCTAAGCAGGGAACAGTCAACTCTCCCTATATCCTGAACTTATATTTTCCATGAGATCTGCAGAATTCTATGAGATATTCAAATATTGAGTCACACTGACTGCAGGGCCTTACATACAGAGTCTGAAAGGTTGAGCCACAAGATCTTCTGAGGGTCCTTCCACACCAGGCTGCTCCAGTGACAGAGGTGACAGAGCTCACAGGTGTAGAATGTAACAGTGCTGAGAGCTTGGTACTGCACACATACACCTCTGATGCTAAGGTGAAGCTTTATCACTGAAGCTTTTGAAACAGTGCAAAGCTGCTACAAGTGTTTGGCAGTAACATCACCTTCAGATCAGTTCATAACAAAGCCAGTAAGTTAAGTGTCTTGCTGAGACTATCTGAGCTCCGTGTTTATGAGCCCCAGCGCACCCTTATTCAGGATGAGCTGCTGCTTCTGTGCTCTTCCATTTAGAAAGACAGATATAGAGTAAGTTTTGTAACTGCAGCCTCTTGTAACTGAACTTCCCTCTGGAATGGTCTTTCCTTCCTGAAGTTACCAGCCTTCTTCAGTCCCCAGTTTTACTTTAAGGCCACTGGTTTTACAGATGCAGTATCTGAGATGCTTGCTTTTTAAAAAAAGAATACATATGGTGGCAAAAAAGTCTGAAAATATTTGTATGAAGGTCCATCAAACCTTGATTTTGCTTTGAAAGATCTGTAGCTTTCCAGGGTTATCAGGCAGAACATGGAGACTGACATATGCCACAGAAAACGTACATCAAAACCTTAATTTTGTTGCCTAGTATTACTGTTTAGTTAATAGTAGGATTTAGAAGTTGGTAACCATAGAGCTTGTAAACCACAATCACATGGAATACTTCTCACTTCAGTTTTCTTACACAACACTATTAACAGCAGTTTAACAGAGGAGGGGCTCAAGGTTATCTCCAAACATTAAACAAAACTCAAAGTAAAATCCCATTTCACCTGCACAAACACAACCTGGTGCCCTGTCAAGCTCAAGCCAAATAAACCCATTAAGAACTTCTTTTAACTATTATTTATTTATTCAGCTGTCCAATTCATCCTCACCCTGCCCAGACTCTAGGAAGCTGCCATTCCCACTATCAGGTAGTTCCAGCCCAGTACCTATTTGAGTCAAGCTTCACATTTTCAACTATCATATGTCAAATAAACCATTCAGCCCTTCAAAACCTGCCCCAGTGACAGGATTGCCTTGGCCAGACGAAGGACCACACTGCCACCTGTCCCAGGAGATGCACACTTACCATGCTGACAAGAAGGATGTGTGAGGTGTACACAGAGCAGCAGCACACTGCACAGCACACACAGGTTCAACCATCAGCCCTGGAAGGGCATTTCCTGCTGTCCCTCCACTTGCACATGACTTGTTCTCTCTGTAACCTGTGGCTGGCCTGGAAGCTACAATTACTCTTGCTGCAGCTCTCTGTGGCAGCCCACACCTTCCAAACCACAAGGATTCACTACTGCAATGCCCTGTTCAGGCTGCCCTTGGGAAGCTAACTCAGAAACACGTCTGCAGTGCTGCAAGTCCCTACAGCAGTATCACCAACACTTTACACTCCATCAGTCGGCTGCCAAGATCGGTTTTGCATGTTGCCTGAAACACCCACAGAAAGAAAAGTTGTACTAAGCACGTCCCATGTGTCAACAGGGCACAACTTAACACCACCAAGCTTCCTACAGAGAGGAAAATTAGATTCTTCAGGAAAAAAGCATGGAAGCAGCTTCAGACAGACAGGACTACTGAAGTCAGAATTCAAGAACTGTGATGAAGGTACTAGAGGATGCTTCTCATGACCTACACAGTATCTCAAATCCAGTGCCTTTTCAGTAGAATTGCATGTAAAAGGCAAGATCTACCATAGAAGAGCAGCACACAGGCCTAGCCAGAAGGGACACTGTGGTCTCCAAATATGTGGTTTAAACACACTTCACCTCATGGATCCAGGAGAGCAAACTCAGTCCACTACTACCTGCAAGAAACATTTTGTAATGGGTTCTGTGATGTCTGCTACTTAATTCTTAGAGAACACCAGTTATATCTGCACTTGAGCATGCAGATGCAGTGCTTTTCTTGAGAGAGGGGCTTAAGCATCAGCACCTATTGATTACAATGGGAATTAGGAGCTTACATCCAACTTGCAAACTCCACTCCTGCACAGCAGGAGACAAGAAAACAAACCAACAACAAAGAAGTCAGCAGGTTACACACACAGCTGAATTTATCAGCACTTAGTAAACTTCCCCACATGCAACTCAGGGTGCGGGGAAACTACAGACTCCACATTTTTAATGAGGGCAAACATATCTACACCACTCTGTGAAACTGGCTGCAGCATATACTGCCAAAAAGGATTCCCAAGGGGTTTTGCTCACGATCATCAGAACACAAGGAAATGCCTCCAGCTGCAGAAGGCAACATGAACTTGTTTTCAGCTGCTCTTTCTCCCATGAGAATGTTTCGACTTGATTTGTGGGTCCCAACACAACGCCATTACAAGTGCCTGGGTCTCAAAAGAACAACTGACAACCCTGCTTCTGAGAAGCACCTAACGCAGATGTGAAATTAGCTCGGAACGAATCTCAAAGCTTATTTAAGAGAAAATGCTCTCCACATTGTCAGCACAGATTCAAGAGCAGACTAAATTCCAGATTCAGTACCTGCATTGCAAACTAAGCCCCCCAAGGGCACCCCCTTACCTGACTCAGGCCAACAGAAATCTGTTAACTGGAGTCACTGATGTATCCTCAGAGGTTATAGAAGAGCAATGGAAAAGTTAAAAGCATCTTTCACTTTAATTTCTAGTGAATGACTTCATATTACCAAGTCCTGCTTAGGCACATGTGGCAGAGACCTGCAAAGTCAGGACATGAGCACCTAGGATGTGCAGTTGGGCCACACTGAATGCCTGGTTCCCCCTTCTTGCCAGACTTCTCCCGTCCCCATCCTGCCAGGATCCAGCCATTTGACCTGTTGGATAGCTTTTGCTATTCCTAGTTTTCAGCTCCTTTCAATGACTCTGAATTAAAGCTACTCACAGGAGAGTTTCCTGACTGGCAGTGCCAGGGCAAGGCAAGCAGCGGGAGCAGAACCTCATTCCAGCACGAGCACTGTCAATGTGCTCCCCACAGCTTGCAGAGCCATACTCTGGGATGTGCTTTTCACCAGGCTACATAAAAACCTAAGTTCAGAAAAGCTTTTGTACAGGATGTGTAGATGAGAAGGAAAGATCCAGGCTTCCTTTTGTTCTAGGCATCCAGTGACCACTGACAGATTAAAACAAGCCCTTATTCAATTATTAAAGCTTCGAATGGATGAAGCCCACAATCCATATCTTATTGTTTTCCTTACCCAACAAGGTCAAGCAATGGATTGGTTTGGTCCAGACAACACAAAAACAGAACTGATACAAGCCACAACCTGCTCAGCACAAAGCCAGAGAGAGATATGGACAATTCAAAAGGAGGGAGCGCATTTGGCCAACATGAACAGGGTTGTGATACCGAAAACCTGAGGTAACTGCTGTTCAAACCGTGCCCAGAACCATAGCCTGCACAAACACCGGCAGCATCAGATCAACACCACGAAAACCAAGGGAGGGAGCACGCTGGAAGCAGCTCCACACACAGCTGCAGCCTGTTGCTGGAGAAGCTCACGCCCTCTCCTTTTTCCCTCAGAAAACCTGTTATTCGGTGGTATTTACGGGTCACCTCCGCTCGCCTTAACCCCAAACACAGCCTGCCCGAGGATGCGACCTCACCCACAGCCACTGCGTCCCTCCCCAGCACACCCAGACCCGCTCCGTTTCTCCGCATCCCCGCTCCCCACCATCCCGCCCGCTCCAGGCCGCCGGCAGCGCGCTCCGAACCGCGGGGCCCGGCGGGGGGACGCGGGGCCGGGCGGGAGGGATGAAAACCCCATTCCCTCCCCACAGGACGCGGCGATGGGGGAGACGGGGGGGGGGGCCGCGGTCCCTCCGGGCCGCGCTGGGGCCGGGCGGGGGGGAGAGCAGCGGCGATGGCACTCACGGTACGGGGGCCGCGGCGGGCGAGTGCACGTCCTCGCGCGCGTCGTAGAACTCCTCGAAGTCGCTGTCGGAGGCCATGGCGGGCGCGGGGCGGCCACCACCTCGGCGGGCACGACGGGCGGGGCGCGCGCGGGGGCCGCGCCGGTCTCGCGAGAGGTGCGCCGGCCCCGCCCCGTGCCGGGCGGAAGTGGGAGGAGCACGGGAGGAGCGCGGCTACAGCGGGATCCGCGGGCAGAGGCGGAAGTGGAGACGAGCGTGGCCCAGCGCCCCCTGCGGCTCAGTGCGCGCGGTGCAACCCCGTCCAGCCCAGTGCGGAGCTGGGCAGCGCAGGGGGGCGGCTTTAACCTGGCTGCAGGTCTAAGGATGCAACTGTAATGACAGACAAGGGGCGATAGCTTTAAACTTAAACAGGGGAGGCTGAGCTGAGCTCTTAGGCAGAAGCTCTTCCCTGTGAGGGTGCTGAGGCGCTGGCACAGGGTGCCCAGAGAAGCTGTGGCTGCCCCATCCCTGGCAGTGCTCAAGGCCAGGTTGGACACAGGGGCTTGGAGCAAGCTGCTCCAGTGGAAGGGGTCCCTGCCCGTGGCAGGGGTTGGAGCTGGAGGAGCTGTGAGGTCCCTTCCAACCCAAACCATTCTATAACGATCTCTCTGATGTGATTGTGTGACTGCGCTGCTAAGTTCTCAGCCTCACTCCCAACGTTGCCCTGGGGCCAGTTGTCCCAAAAGCCAAACCCAGGCGAGTAAAGAGATTATATATCAAACCCCTGATGGATGGGGAGGCTCTTTGGCACGGGGGATAGTGCAGTCGCCAGGGTTTTCTAACATAAAACCATCCACAATTCAATTACTTGAATTACTTTCTGGCTTCTGCAGCTTGCTCAAGGGTCACAGAGGTGAGCATAGGCTGGACACTGAAGGTTTCCTGGTCTCCAGCCGCTGCCAGGCTGGCTTCTGGCATAAAGGGGTTGTGTCTGCACAAGTGCTGCTGCTGCTCTTCTAGCCCGGAGGCCCGGGCAGCACAGGAGTCCCTGTCTCTTGTTTCCCAGCTCATTTCCTTGCGCTGCTGAAGTTGGCAGAGTTCCCACTGAATCCTAACCCACTGCAGGGAGATACAGGGTACATCTGCAGCCTCTGCAGAGTATCACCAGCCTCCTGACTCATCCGGTCACCCAGGGACACGAGGTTCTAAAGCAAGGTTATTATTTATCATTGTATTAAAACAAATAAGGGCAAGAAGTATGTTTAGAGGGAGGTTGGGGCTGGTTCCCTCCTGCAGCACAGCCCGTGGGTGATCTCCCCGGTGCCCTCTGGGCTCAGGAGAGGCAAGGGGAAGAAGTGCCGGTCCCAGGGCTCCCATGAGGAGGGGAGGATCAAAGTCATGTTCAAAACGTGACTGAACGAGGTCTCCTGCATCGCATCCCAGGCCTTGGGTGCTCACCTGTGTAAAACTTTGCTCCCCTGAGAGCTTGGTGAGAGTAGGAGAGACAGAGATGACCAGAGGTGACAGCTATGTGGAGCCAGGATGTGGCTTGGGAATAGCATCACTGGTCAGATAAAGGGGGTGATCCCCTCTGATCCAAGTCCTGAGGACCAAGCCCATGCTGGTGTAAGAGGAGCAGGAGAACAGGAAAAGCCGCATACCTGGAGCATCACGCAGCAGCACTGATCTTTGCCAACCCGTTTGACAGCTCATTGGTGTAAATCATGATTTTGGGTGCTCTTTGTGAGAACTGCTCTTTCCCAGCGCTGCAAACCGCTGCTTGCACACAGCACTTCATGCCCTGTGCCACCAGGGCAGAGGGGTCGCGGGGAGGTGTGATGGGGTCATGACGTAGGATAAGGTTTGACTGTGCACCAAGCTTTCAACAGCCTGGCCATGTCCATAGAGGTGTCCTGTGGCTTCTGCTGCAGCAAATAGCCTAGAATCATAGAACCATAGACACAGGTTTGGCTTGGAAGGGACCTTAAAGCTCATCCACTTCCAACCCCTGCGATGGGCAGGGACACCTTCCCCTGGAGCAGGTTGCACTAAGCCCCATCCAACCTGGCCTTGAGCACTGCCAGGGATGGGGCAGCAGTGATGGCTGGTCCCTTGCAAGCAGGAGTCAGTTCTGGGCTGACTGGGGGTTTTCCCTGCTTCCAGAGCTGGAGCAGCAAACTGGATTGTTGGAGGTGAAATAGCCTTGTTGTTTGTGTGGTGTGAAGGGATGGAGGCAGCTCGCACATCGAACGTGAGGTGCAGACTCAGTACCTGCTGAATGGAGTTAGGAACACTTGAGAAAGCTCCCTCTATCCCTCCAAGTGCCCTCCCAAAACTCAGGCCATGCAGGGACTGGTATTCAGAGGGTTGTCCTGCTGCCATAACTTGCACTGCATCATCTGCTCTTACAAACAAACCAATTTAATTACAGCCATGCTCTTTAATCCTCCCTCCTGGCACACTGACATGTGTAGGTGTTTCAGCCTTCACCCAGGTCCTCTCAATCACCATGTTTCCTTTCAGTCTGAAGATGCTCAGTGGTATGTGTGCTGTATGTAGGAATGGGTCATTTTTGTTCTCTCTCTGCTCTATCTCTAACTGCCTAAAAGCATCCTCATAGTTTATGAATCAGAGTTAGTGGAGTGGAGTTTGGAGATCTACTGATGTTGCTCATTACCAAAAGTCATGATCAAAGCAATGCATGCTGAAAAAGGGGGCATTTGCTGTCCTTGTAAGAAAGAATTGTGAGCAGCCTGCTCTGAAGTGAATGGTGTTAGGTTTGAATAGGGAGTTTGCTATGAAACTCCCTATTTAAATTGGGAAGATTAAAACAAATCCAAAATGAATGTAGTAAGTGTTGAATGACAAACAAATCCATAGCTTTCACTAAATGGTTCTACAGAATACTTGTATTTGCAAGTAGAAATAGAAAGGATTACACTGCATCTTCTCTGTTGGACCCAAATTCACACCAAAAACGCTCACAAAGAATCCATTAGGTTTCTAAAGATAAACCAACACCACAAAGCCCTGTGGTGTCTAGAAGTTACAACTTTGTATGTGCCATCACCATGAACCAGGCAGCACTGAGAAAACTGCTCCTGGTCATCACACCCATAGTTAGTAACCTGTCACCGCTGGCCTGGCCGCTGCCTCTCTGATGTGGGTCAGGAGAATCCAGGCTGGGCTACAACCAGCAAGTCAGGCTGTGTTTAACAGAGAGAGAGACCCCCCTCCCTCCTGCTGCTGCTCGCACTCCTTCCCATGCTCCTGTCCTGCCGTGGTGCTCTGTTTGAAGGGTAACACAGGGTGCAGCATTCCCTGATGTGCATTTCTGTTTGTGTCCCTTTGCTGCTGAATGCATCTCCTTAATTCTAACCAGCGATTTATTTGTTTGATAGTGTCCAGGAAACACACCCAAGAGGGAATCTGAATACAGCCACAGAGCTGAGAAGGATTAATGTTAGATGATAGAACATTGGAAAAGGCTATCCCCACATTTGGGTCAATACCTGCTATTAATACCATAAGCAATGAGTAAATGAGTGTGACCTTATTATATGTTATTATATTTAAAGAGAGTCAGTATTTACTTTTCCTTTAAAGACCTCTGAGGATCACATCACCATCATGCGCTCTGGCAGCCAGGAGAGCACTCTGCCCGTCTCAGTGGTGGTGAGTTTAGCACAACCACATCTGAGCTTCGAGAGGGCACTGTGTGATCTATCTCTTTTATTCTTAGACAAAGTTATCAGCATTTAACTTAGCAGAGAAATGCCTTATTTTGCCAGCAGACAAATGCCTTATTAGTGGGGACAAATTTCTTTCCTTCTGCAGGTGTTGATAGCTGCTGTGGAAGCTGGAAATCAGCAGTGATTTGTGAAAGCAGCTTCAGGACTCTAACGTGGATATTGCTGTGGCTTATCCAGCAGCTCCAGGTCCCTGCTGTGCTCTGGGTGCGCAGTGAGAAAGCAGCTCGTTTGCTGACATCGGCACTTTCATTCCCACCTCCCTTAATTTCCTGTGTTCATGAAAGAATAAGAGTAAGAATAAGAATCCCCGGGATCTATAGGGATCTATAGGCAGTGCAGGAACCCAGCTGCGTCCTGCATGTGGTGGCCAGTGCATGTATGAGCCCAAGCCAGGGAACTTCTCACCCCTGAGCAGCCGCCTCCACTGGGCAGCTTTCAAACCGCTGCATCCCAGCAGGATTTCTTCCTTCATCCCTTTGCGCTCAGCTGTCCCCTGCTCATTCACCACTGCAAGCTCTTGGCACCACGCTGTGGGTTCCCGATGGACCGCCTCTGCTTTCCCTGCAGCACCCTGCATGGAGGGCACAGATCCCCAGGATCCACCATCATGGAAATGAAACCAAACCACACAGAATCATAGAATCCCAGACTGGTTTGTGTTGGAAGGGGCCTTAAAGCTCATCCAGTTCCAGTCTCCTGCTGCTGAGGGGAACAGTCAAGTTAAAGCCATTCCCCTTGTCCTGTCCCTATATCCCTTGTCCAAAGCCCCTCTCCAGCTTTACTGTGGGCCTTTTCCAACCCTGTAGTTGCTTATATACAGATTTTTCCTTCTCTTGGTTTAATTTGGGATGTGTACAGCTAAATGTTAAATCTGCATTACAGTAATTACTGAGTAATTGAAATGTCATAGTCCTGCATTAAACTCCTCAAGTAGAATTAAACGAGAGGTTTCTGCTCCTGGCTTCTAAGGGCACAGTGTGAATGTTTGATAGCAGCAGCAAAGCCAGAATTACAGGTTAGGCTCCAATCTGTGTGCATGACTAACACCAGAAAAAACAAAACCAGTCTGAACTCCTCAAGGCCGGAGCCAAGACACAGTGAAGAAGATGTAACTTGTTTTAGATCCAGCTTTCTGTTGGAAAGAAGCAGTTCCTGCTATGGGCCTGGGTTCCTGTGGCTTGGAGCTGGGGCTGCACCGCAGGAAGGATGCCTGGACCCTGCGTGGATGCAGTGTGTCCTTCCGAGACATCCTGTGGTGCTTCCTTTGGTGGGACTGGCCTTGCTACTGCTCAAAGCAAACCTGCTGAAGCTGTGCAGCCAGCTCTTGTTCTTGCTGGAAGGGATGTGAAAGCTGACAGCTGCAGTGATCCTTGTCCTGGCAGTGATTACACTGCACTGCAGGGTCAGAATTTCAGCAAA